TATAATTTATGTCATTGTCACTACAACTATGATAACTGTTCTGGACACATTTAACTTCTGTTTCACAAAAAAAAAATGAATAAAATAAAATAAAATAAAATAAAATTACACCGTCCTAAAGGGGGCGTTTCCTCCCACTCTACCCTAGTACTATAATAAAAGCATGGTTATTTTTCGTAAGGGATCTGAGTAACGATTAAGCAATAAAGCATTTGAAAACAATACTTTCTATACGTTAAAGCCTGCATGCAATAACAAATTATCTAACAAACATCGTGAAATAAAAATTAAAAATAAGGTACTTATGCTGACGGGGATAAAGGTATAAACTCTATAACCTGATAGAAGCACACGATCCGCTCGACAGAGCATGCGCGAAATCATGAGGACCGACGTGTTTATCGTCTTGATGCTGCGCAGACGCACTGAAGGAGAAACAGGGGAACTGAATTCTCCGGAGCAAGTCTCAAGGAGTAAACATGACGGAAGAAACGGTCAAAAACGGTCAAGGGTCCGATGACAACATGACAACGACTGAATACTGCAAGCGGCTGCAGCAGTGGATGTGGCGCTATTACAGTGGTTATGTGAGCTGGCAGAGCTGGGTGCTCATGTCCCCGCCGCTCTTTCCTCCGCCTCAATTCGGTTGCCAGGCACCCGGCCGCAGCTCCACATCTGCGTGTGCCGCGACGCCCGCTGACATCGCCGCTTGGTATAACCAGATGAGCAGCCCACCATCCATCCGTCCAGCAGCCACTGCCTCCTCCAGCACTGCTGAGAGAGGACCAGCACAGCCTGCAGGTAGCTGTCAATCCAGTGCTTCGAGGAGACGGAGTATTTAGTTGCTTTATTAAACACGTTAACAAACGCTAATGAAGAATTGGAATAAATGTACCTTTTATGTACCTGTATCTCCATAATCCCCCATCATATGTACTTTTAGTATTATATATCCAGTTCCGAAGTAAATGGAAAATTGCAGTGTAAATGCATTTATGCCACCTCTGAGCAGCATCAGACAGTCTGTGTAAAGACACCTAACTGCCAGTTTAGAAGCGCTTCTGTGCCACCTTTGCCATGTAAACTTGGCGTTGGAGAACTATTTGTCTCAGTATCGTAGTCATGTAGTACCTGCAGTAGTACAGGTATATGCAGTGCGGACCAACATTCTTACACCACATTTAAAATCAAACAGATTTACAAATAAAAACTGTTAAAGTCCCCCTGTAGTCAAATATTTTATCCCTTAAAACTTATCTTTGATTAACAAAATTACATATTTAAATGTTTTTTCTTGTGAAAATACTTTTCTCATTCCTCAAAATAGCTTGAATGTAACTCTACACCCTTGCCTCATTTACTATACGCTGATCTATGAATATGCAAATTAGCCCCGCCTCCACTCAGTCACACAGCCAGCGCCTCCTGATCCACTGAACTGTAGTAAACGCAAAACAATGGCATACACGGATAATGACTGATAAAACTGTTTTTACTAGCGGACAACTACAGTGAATACTGTAACATTCGTTAAAGTTACTTACTTGACGATGTTGTGTCCTAAAATGCCTTGAAGACTCGAATGCAGCCGTTTGTGATTGTTAATTTGCGCCCCCGAGCATACGCGTGTGAAGTGCGGGAGAGGTGCGTCTGACTCCGGGCTACGTTTACACTCTTGCCACGGGTTATAATACAAGTTAGCGGTTCTAAATTCACATTAAACCACAGCTTCATGGGTTTTTTGCTCTGATTTATTTTTGGTTTTGTGCTGGTATTGGTATATTTTGCATGCTAGTGATAGGAATCGATCCCTTGACGTGATTGGTTATTGGTTTGTGACGTAGAAAACCAAGGGCTGTTTCAAACCGTATTTCTGGGTCAGTCTTTGGGAAACTACAGTTTTAAGGAGAAAATACTCCGCAATGGTGTTGATTAATAGATTGGCACACGGTTTGTCTAAAGGCATATTAAAAACACCATATAGACAAATAAACAACATAAAAAACTTGATTTTCACTAAAGGGGGACTTTAAATAAAATTAAGATTATAAAATATTTCCTAAAATATGTGATACTGTAAAAGCCTTGACACACAATGACACCTGTGAACCAGCCACTGTGTCACAGCACAGCACCTATAGAGGCCAACCTTAATTTACATGGCACATAGTATCTTTTACTGGAAGAATTGCACTTAATTGTACACTTAATTTGCCTTTCTGCATACATCACCAATCAGATGTAAGCGCATTTGTGACACTGATGTGAACTCTGTAGAAAAGGCTGATTTTCTTAAATCTGTTGAAGCATTGAAGTTAGGTTCTAACTTCATGGTCCTAACTTCATCCTTTGTTCTTTCAGGTAGAGAGTACACCATCCCCTCCCCTCTCCGTAGATTTCTGGCTGAAACTGTGGATTTCTTCATTCTCTTCTGTTTTAAGGCAACCATAGTGTTGTGGATCATGCATCTCAGTGGAATGAAGTGAGTCGAGAACGTGTTGAGAACAAGAAAGGAATTGATCCAGTATGAATTATCCTTCTTGAATCATGTAGTTATAGATGTACTATTGTATATATAATATCACAGTTTCCACAAGATATTAAGTAGCACAACTGTTTTAAACATTGATAATGTTTTGTCAATTCAGCATATTAGAGTGATTTCTTGAAGGATCATGTGACACTAAAGACTTGTGTATTGATGCTGTAAATTCAGCTTTGCATCACAGGAATAAAATACAATAAAATAGAAAAAAACTATTTTAAATGCAAATACTTTTACATAGTTTTACTATTTTTACTGTATTTTTACTAGTAGAGACTCCTTTCATAAACATTAAAAAAATCTTACCGATTCCATACTTTTGAACATAGTGTATATACAGTATATACAGTACATTTTATGAAAGTTCATGTAACTTTGATCTTGTGAACAGAGATATCTCCAAGTTCATGATGCAGTTTATCGTGGAAGAGATTGATGAGAACACGTCACTGGAGGACCTGCAGAAGATGATGGTCGTGGCTTTAGCATACAGAGTCCTAGTGTGTGTCTATGAAGTGAGTGAGCATCTTTCATGTTGTGAAAGCCACAATTACAAGCCTTGTCTCTCAATCTGTTTTTAATTTACAGTTTTAGATCGGTTTTATCAGAAAAATAAATAATCAGTCATTTTAGCCTTGTCATATTTTCACTTAGTAGCAGCATTTTGTTGAAAAACTCTGTAGTCTAAAAGTGATTTGAATGAGTTATGAGTTTATATTTTTAAACAGCCCACACATTTCCTTCAGTCTGTGTTCTGTCTTCATCTGCAGATCATCTGTATTTGGGGAGCTGGAGGTGCCACTCCGGGAAAGTTCCTGCTGGGGCTTCGAGTCGTCACATGTGATACGACAGTCCTAGTGCAGCCGAATCGGGTTTTGGTGGTACCGGCATCCAGTGTCAGCTTCTCTGCGTGAGTTATGCGTATATTTATAATGCTGTGGCCATATATATATATATATATATATATATATATATATTAGGGCTGAATGATTATGACAAAATTTCCTTGAAATTATATGAAAATAAACAGGCTGAAAACAGTCTAACTGAAAAACCTTTATTGCTTTTCTATGGTGTTAAGCTTCAAATATCAGCTATACATGGGATTGGTTTCTTATAAAAATAAAAAAAAAAGTAAAAATATGCATGGTATTATAATGTTATATTAAAACTAAAATGAAAACAATGGAAAAACCCTTAGGCTGATGATACACGGGGCAACTTTTTGAGCAATTTTGCGGGCCAACTTTTTTTGAGCAATGTTGCTTGGCACTTTCCCATTGAGAATGGGTAACAAATTTCTATCTGGATACTTTAGATTGGTCCGGGGGCCCTGTGTCTCACCTGATGGCAACGTTGATGGCAACAATGCCCAAAATTGCCCGGCAACATTGCTCAAAAAGTTGCCCCGTGTATCATCAGCTTAAAGATAACCTGTAGAAAGAAAAAAAAAGCATTTTAAAGGGATAGTTCACCCAAAAATGAAAATTTGATGTTTATCTGCTTACCCCCAGGGCATCCAAGATGTAGGTGACTTTGTTTCTTCAGTAGAAAACATATGATGATTTTTAAATTTAACCGTTGCGGTCTATCAGTCGTATAATGCATGGCAATGGTAACAAAATCTATGAGAGTAAAAAAAACATGCACAGACAAATCCAATCACCGCAAAGCCATAATTGCATTAAAAGAAGAACGCCTGGCTTTTGAGTGTTGAGTTAGGATTTCATTTTGAGGAGAGAACTGGATTTTATTGGAATTGGCAAAATGAAAACAAATAAAAATAAACTCTACATAATCAACTGAATGGTCAATAAATCCTGATTTAACGGTCTCATCACCAAAGACGTGTATTTTTGCACAGCTTTCTAATGATGTGAGTTCACGTGATTGAAGAGACACATAGCTGATCGCATAAATTCTGGGTTTTGCTCTGCCATAACCTGTCAAACCTTTGAGGAATCACATTTATCTCCATAAACACACAAGATCTGTTCCAAAACGTAGTGAGTCACCTATGGAGGCGGTATTTTAAGGCAACATGGGCACAAGGCAGCAATGATCACGAGTCTCTGACACAGAGTCTTTGTCACAAGTCTAAATACATTCTCAATTCTACTTTTGGTAATAATTTTAGGACAAGTTATAGGACAAGTTTAATAAATTCTTAAAAATGTATTATTTTGAGGGATTTCTGAAAATTCTGTCAACAGTTACTCACCCTCAAGTTCTTGGTAACCAAACGGTTGATGCTAGCCATACTATGGATGGGACCACCGACCACTTTTTGGTTACCAACATTCTTCAAAATATCTTCTTTTGTGCTTAACAGAAAATTTGGAACAACATGAGGGTGAGTAACTGAACATCAAATTTTCTTTTTTGGGTGAACTATCGCTTTAAGCACGCAGAATAACATAAGTAGACTTTGAATGATTAATTGCTGATTTAAACGATTACGTAATTATGGCATCCGTAATTGTAATATATATATATATATATATATATACAGTATATAGATAGATAGATAGATAGATTTTTCTATAGAATAGAATTTCATAGGTAGTATAATAATGCAGATGTTTTTTTTTTTTGCAGCTCCACTGTACGGGCTTTAAACAAAAACTTCTCCATCGCCTTCCTGTTCCCTATCTTTATCACGTTACTATTTTTCCAGCACAACAGAACTGTTTATGACGTTGTGGCTGGAACCATTGTGGTTCAGAGGAGAAGAGCCAGATGACCAGCCTGTGTGTGTCAAAATCATGTCTAATAATATCCATATAGTATTTCCTGCAGATTTGCACTAATGATCCATGTATTAAAGTCTGATCACATAGCTATTGTTTACAGCACTGAGAAATATCTGCTTTCTTAGAAAAGTGATCCCTCAACAGACAGTATTTAATGTTGAATGATGAGTGATATCAAGCTCAAGACACGTGTTTTATGTAGACATACTTGGAAATTTCATCCGAGTGGAATGTTTCGCTCTAATCACCAGCTTAATCCACAAGGTTTTCATAACTTCTCCTCAGATTCAAGCTTTACGGCCCAGACGAGTCTGTTATTAATCTTACTAAAGGCAGGGAATTGAGCTCGACATTCATTGCGTATCCTTCCTCACATGCACGCAGACGTCCAGAATGTTCCATTCCTTTTGTCAATTCAGTCAGTGGCTGATATGCCTCACGACATTTCTCAGGATTTCTTAAAAAACATTTTATGTGGCATATGTTTCAGTTCTTATCTTTAGTATGTGAAGAGTTAAGAACTGTATTTTGAAATTCACATTATCTGCCATAAATTATTCAGCATGCTAAACACATCAGCTGTTTTGTTTTATCATTGTGCATGGTTCATAAAAATATATTTGATGAGATTGACAAGATTTGATACAGTGTATTTACCACTTATGTATTTTATGCAGAAATATTGTCAAATCCATCTGGCGTGTGGCTAAATTAAATTAACATCTCTGAGATATATTATCTTTCTCATGTTCTAACTAGTGTTATTTTAGATACTATTATATTTTTCATTAATATTTTGAATTAGTTTTTTTCCCCAGTTTTGCTTTAATTTGAGCTAGTTATTTTTTGTGTATTTTTGTCATTGTATTAATTATTGTTTATTTATTTATTTTAAATATGTGTGTAGTTTTAAATAAATGTTTGTTTCAGCTTTAGTTGTGTTAGTGCATCAAATTAAACTAAATGAAAATGAAAAATGTTGCCTTGTCAACTAGCTGAAATAAAGTTTTATTATTTAACTTTACTTAACATTTATTTTATTTCAAGTAACTAAAGGGTTTTTTAATGGGCTTTAGTTAACCATAATAACTGCTCATATTATCTCAGTATAGGGTTAAGAATGATAAAATGGATTAAGTATGAACCTATGCATATTTAAAACAAAAAAATACTTCTTGATAACCACTAGGTGGTGATATGTGTTCGTAAACGCAAGCTGGAACCCTAATTTGACAATGGCTGCGTCCGAAACCGCCTACTCAATGAGTAGGTACTTAATTTCATTAAGTACTTACTTAACGAGCGCTAAAAGAGTAGGTACTCTACAGCCAAATCTCGTTAAGTATGAATGCG